CGATTCTCGGCGGGTTTCTAGCCTGCTCGCCCGATAGCTGCGGAACGGGCCGGTGTGCGCACGCGCACACTGCCCGTTCTGCATTGCCGTCATCGGAAGCCCGCCCCTCAGCGGGGCGGGCTTTCAATGATCGCACGTACGATCTGCCCGTCCAAGGTGGGCAGATCGTACGGGCTTTCAAGAGGCATACGACCATCGCAAGACAAAAGTCTTGCGATGGTCGTAAGGTGTATGGGCACCTTAAACCTGTGGCGAGAATAGTGTTGGATGCACTAGCAGATATAGATAGAGTTGACTAACAAATTAAGGGCTCATTCACACTATATTTTTTGGGCTGTGCTGGCCTTTTTGTTTTTCCAGCACAGCCTGAATGCAAGCCAATTTGCTTTGTCACGGTTGGGCACAGTTCACACCACTGCATTTCGGTATGGCATGCAGCACTTTTTTAAGCACACCGCAATGGGACCCAGTACAACTGCATTGCACTACGGTGTGCCCATAGAACGTAATGAAAAGTTAATTGGTGAGATTTCAATAAAGTCCTAACAAAAAACAATGAGTGCGATGCTTTTTTTTTTTTTTTAACAGCTACAGCAACACTTTTTTTTTTTCCTTTTGGGATTTAAGTTTTACATAAATGAATAAAAGCTGACCATTGTAAGCAGCCCTGTCAGTGTTCAGTGGTTTGTCCTAACACTCTATCTGCCACTTTTGCTGGCCAGAAAGCTAAAAAAATAACAGACTTGCTAGCCATATCACCAGGTGAAAATAAAATAAAAAATCTTTTAAAAAACTAATGCAGCCAACACATGTAAGAATTGCTAATCTTCAATGTGCAGTATTACATTTTTGCTTTTAGGCTTAGATATGCTTTAACTGTGAGGAAGTTCAAGGACAGATTAGATATGTTTGCGAAGTAGACTGTTAGTTATTTTTAAAGTATGTAGTTGGAATTTTTCCCTCCTACTTTTATTTATACAAATAATTTCCCCAAATGTTGAACAATTGTGGTTAAGCTGTGTTTTTCTTAATATTTATGAATGTCAATATAAAAAAAATAACGAGCTACTGCAATAACAGTAAATGTATAAGGTATGTTGTCAAGTAAAATTGGTTCTTGTGTTTTTATTTCTAGGCTGTGGAAAACTTGTGTTCCAACAAAATGTCTAACACACTGTACAAACAGCTGCGCCAAGTATGTGAGGAGCATATGAAGGCTCAGATCCATCAGTTCAGGGAATATCCTTTATGCAATGCACATGCATCTAAAGAAAATCTGTTTAGAAAACAACTGTCTTAGTATTGTGCTCTTTAGCCTGGTCATAATTTGGGAACACATGTATATGGGTAGAAACGGACAGAGGCAGCTGCTAATTAACACTCTGATCCAGGATCTTAAGGTGCCCATACACCTTACAATTATCTGCAGATTTTCTGTGGTCAGCTGGAAAAAGTGCAACAGATTGGGCCAGGTGGAGATTACTCCATCCACACAGTTAAGTGTAGATGGAGGAATCTTTTGCACCTTTCCCATCTGACCATAGAAAATCTGCAGATAATTGTAAGGTGTATGGCCAGCTTTAGTCTTACTGCAAGAGGGCCCTGTATGACTGGACAGTGATTCAACGTGCGCTTGGGGACATTATTATAGTTACATAGGAGATTAAGTTGGAAAAAAGACTCAGATCCATCCATTCCAACGTGTGTGTGTGTGTGTCAGATTCAATTATCTCTTCTAAGAGTATACATAGCTCTGTATGTTGTGCTCATCAAGGAAGACATCTAAAGGTTTTTTGAATTTGTCAATGCTTCCGATTGTTTCCACTACCTGGAGAAGCAAGTTCTTTTCTTTCATCCTGTTAGGTTATTTTTTAATGAGGATCAACATATGTCCATGTATGCAAAATGTTACATCTGGCATCTATTCCCTTTACTGGAGTTTTATATGTAATTATTCTGTATGTAGGTGACTTTTATCTGTCTAGTTAGACAAGGTAGTCTAAACCCATTGTTCTCAACTGGTTGTTCGTGACCCAAAAGTGGGTTGCAACTCCGTGTTCAGTGGGTCACCGCGTGCCTTCCCTTTATGCTAGGTGAGAAGCTCCTCAGTCTCCCCCTACTGCAGCACTATCAGTTCTTGCACCAAGCAGCCATTCAAAATATGCTGCGTGGTGCAGGGTGTTAGCTTGAGGTGGGGGTGGGCTGGGAGTATGGCTGCGAGGGAGCTCCTTCAGTACATGTATTGCTTACAGCTCCCTTGCGTGCCCTGCAGAGATGCCTGGATCGGAGTGATGTTACCTTCTGGCTCCCGACATCTCTACAGGGCACGCGTGGGAGCTCTATAAGCAATGCACATATGGATGGAGCTAGGTCACAGCACAGCAGCTCACACTGGACCCCCGGCTGAGGATGCACTCCAGTTCTCCTAAGGTAGGGAGACTAGGTGGATCTTTAAATTAAAAAAAAAATTGTTTTAGAGTTTGTATGTGTGTGAGAATGTGGTTGTGTGTGTCTGTCAGTGTTTTTGAGGGCCCGTTCACACTAGTCCCGTGGGATTAACTCACTGTACCACGTAATCGCACGTTCTAGTGTGGGAGGTACGTTGCGTTGCCATTTAATTAAATGGCATCCCCAAACGCACCCACCGCCCGCAGTTCGATCACCTGCACCAGAAAGTGCGTTTTTCAGTGTGGTGCAACTTAGTGACCAAGGACAAATGTGGGCCCTGAGGTTACACAGGCTGAGAACCACTGGTCCAGACCAAGAAGAATGCATGAACCACCATAACTCGAAAGGATGTTTCCGGTAATTTGTTATTTTTTTAAATATACAGTAAATATGTCTTCTTTTCAAGCTAGACGTTTTCCAAACGGTAAATACAGAACTAAAGCTAATTTATGAACACTGGTTTGCCTGATTTGTACTTCTATTCAGGTTGGTCTAGTGATGCATACACCTGTCAGAAAGCATTGAGAGGTAGTTGATCTCCCATGCAGTTAAACAGTACTGTGTACAGGCCCGGATTCCCCACAAGGCCACCGATGCCCGGCCTCGGGTTGGCAGGGCGCAGAGGGGCGGCAGCGGTGTCCTCGTGGGGAAGTTGCCCTCTCTACATTCAGTCCTGCTTTGCACAAGCAGGACTGAATGTAGAGTGAGGCAGCCGATTTTTTGTTTACATGTGAAATCGTCGATGTCGCCGAGATCCCATGTAAACAGTGTGCAGCCTCCTCCCCTCCCCCCTGCACTTACCTCTCTCCTCTGGTTCCGTCCTCCGCCGCCGAGTCTCTCCTCACTGACAGCCGATGCAGTGAGCAGAGCAGCAGGGTTAAAAGTAACCCTGCCGCTCCGTGTAGACAGTGAGAGGGTAGTGCTGTGCTCTTCCTCTCTCACCTGTCACAGGAGTTCCAGCACAGTACTGTGCTGGAGCTCCTGTATTGGAGGTGACAGGGTCAATAAAGAGAACCTGTCACCTCTAATTGCTATCACATAGGGGATTGTTTTCTCCTCTGTGATAGCAATAAAGTTAGGTGGAAAAAAATATTTTAATTGATTAAAAAAAATGTAAATAAAAGTTAAAAAATAATATGAAATAATTAAATAAAAAAGTTAAAAAAATAAAGAAACAGTAAAACAAAATGGACACTAACCCCACCGCCCTGCCGTCTGGTTGCCATTCTCCATTGATGGGAAGGGGGGGGGGTCGCATCGCAGAACCTGGCCTTGGGGCGGCAGGGAGAGTAAATCCGGCCCTGACTGTGTAGATGGGACAACAAAGAAGCCGCAGCAAAAGCCCTTAGGCCCCGTTCACATTGAGCGATTTATCGCGCGGTAATTCCCGCGATATCGCGGCAATTTACCGCGCGATATCGCTCTCCAATGCTTTTCAATGGGGCAAAGGGTCCTGCTGTCGTGCGTCGCTACAGCAGGACCCTTTTTGGAGCGGATTTAGCCACGATTCAAGCTTGCTCAATGCAAGCATTTGCGCGATATTGCGCGACAAACGCGCGATTTGCGAACCGCTCAATGTGAACGGGGCCTTAGTCCCTTTCCCCTCCCGTAAGCATGTTCACAATGCTGGACTGACAGCACTTTGTAAGGTACTAAAACCCTAAATGATTCATGTTGCTCACCCTACATTGTGAATGCAGCTGTGAAAGGGATTGCAATAGGGTCGTATAAGGAAATTTTGAGAAATCTATAAGTTACATTTAATTTTAATAAAAAAACTTAATTAAACTCTCTTTCTTGCTGTATAAATGTTTAATTTGCAATAGTCAAAAGCTCTTCTGTTTTTGGTATGTATATAAGAGTAATATTTCTATTGTGTGAAATTTCCTTAATCCATGTAATGTTGCACAGAATCTCTTGATAGCTTTTTATTTTTAAAAAAGGTTAACTTGTGCTGGAAAGATCATTGTAGACAAATGGTAAGTACTTCAAATATATATTATGAATATTTGCTTAAGTAGAATTTAAAGAAAAATTCCAGGGATTTGTAATATTAACCCTTGCATTGGGGCTACACCCGCACTGCAAGGGTTAAGTACTTGTTTGTGTCTAGGTTAAAAAAAAGTTAGACTCACCCGAAGCTCTGATACGGCTTGTTCTTCGACCGGTCCTTGCAACGTCTCTTCCCCCTCCTCTGCAGTGTTCTAGGGTCCCTAAATTATCACCGTGTATAGACGTGAGGACGCTGAGGAGGATTCCAATGCTGCAGGGAGGGGGAGGGAGCGCTGTGACAGCTGGCTGGCTCAGGGCTTCGGGTGAGTATAATTTTGTTATTTTAGCAATCATTTAAGGATTCTATATAGAGAAAAAAAATCCAAATATAAAACATTAGTTTAAAATTGAGCCCATAACATATTTACGTACTGTCACTTCTAGTTGCATATGTTTTTTTTGAATGCTAGAATATAAAGCACGTGGACATTTTACAACCAGTTACATCGTTAATGGATACGTAGCAGTGTTTTTGATGCTGTTAAGTTTGGGTGGACACTAGTGTTTGTTTTGGTGGGAAATATATATTTTGAAGATTACACCTAAAGTGTAATTTTGTTACATGGATTCATTCCTAATTACATTTGTTGTAGTAATTCATTTGTGGAATGGAATGTAAGTTTGTCTGTTTCTTCAGATCATGATTCGGAGCATTTTCTTATTCTTGGATCGAACGTATGTCCTTCAAAATTCCATGCTTCTCTCCTTATGGTAAGTGAGTCAACAGAGGCAGAATTACGGAGTCTTAAGCTGGCCATACACATATAGATTTTCTATGGACAGATGGAAAATGTGCAACAGATTCCTCCATCTACGCTAAACTGTGTGGATGGAGATATCTCTATCAAGATACTGAAGCTTGGCCCAGTGGGAGATTCCTCCATCCACACAGTTTAGCGTAGATGGAGGAATCTGTTTTTTTCCATCTGACCATAGCAAATCTGCAGAAAATCTATAGGTGTATGGCCAGCTTTACACATAAAGCTAAAATACCATTTTGGCTTCATCCTAGAAATATAAAAATGTAAACTCCCTGGTACCTAGCTCCCTAGAACTACATAGCAAAAACCCGTGACCTCAAATTAGAACTTTAATGGTACCAAATAAGAACATAATATATTAACACCACCATATTAATGGAGAACTATGAGGTGAGTGATTTCCCTCATCCTCTTCGTTAGAGCTGACGTGTGACAATCAAGCTGTCACAGGTCAGCACTATTGATCGGGAAGTGAGTGAACACATACTGTCGCTCGCTCACTTTCCGATCATCTCCCTACAGAGAGCCGTGACCCAGCGCTGAGTGGAGGAAGGGGCGAGGGGGCAGGCTTGGTCTCTAGATAGGCAGAGTCCGCTGTCACTCACGCAGCTGGGTGGATCCAGACAGTATTATCGGAATCCGTCCTGGCTGCGGCGCGCTCAGTATATTGCGGGCAATGGCCCACCATAAATTGAGCTTTGGGTCACGGGAGGAGGTTAGTATATGTCCTCCCATGACCCTAAAGAGAACTATGGGGAAAAACACTCCAGGATTTTCAAAAGTTAACCCTTGCAGTGGGGCTTACCCCCCACTGCAAGGGCTAACTGCTCATTTTGGTCTAGGGGTGCTAATCAAGTAAATATACTTACCTGATCCTCGATCCCGCGTGGCTGCTAGATCAGTCCCTACAGTTTCTTCTCCTCTGGGCTCCGATGGTTTAAACCCCGCTGATGTCTTCACGTCTATGCAAGGTCTATTCACTTGCCTTAAGGTGCCCATACACTGCTCGATTCTCGTCCGAGAATCGCGGGAAATCCCGCGATCATACGAGAATCGAGCAGTGTGAACGGAGACGTGCGACCGTTTCTACTGTACGGTCGCACGTCTTCCGTCGAACCAGCATGTTCGAAAACCAGCCGGGAATCGTACGATTCTCGGCTGGTTAGAACGGTGCTCGGAAGACAAATGCAGAACGGGCCGGTGTACGCACGCGCACACTGCCCGTTCAGCATTGCGGTCATCGGAAGCCCGCCCCTCGGGGGCGGGCTTGCGATGATCGAGAGTGTGATCTGCCTGTCCAAGATAGGCAGATCGTACGTTTTTTTTAATCCCTGTACAACCATCGCAAGACTAAGGTCTTGCGATGGTTGTATAGTGTATGGCCACCTTTAGATGTGAGGATGCCAAGGGCCATTCCACAGCGGAGGGGGAAAGAAGTGAGCACTCGCCGCCACAGGATTGAGGATCTTCTTTGTTCCATTCTTTAGAACAAAACAAGCAGTTAACCCTTGCAGTGCGGGGGTAGCCCCACCTCAAGGGTTAACTTTTGAAAACCCTGGATATCGGCTTTAATTTATACTATATCTTTGAGTAAGTGAAATGTGAAAAATCTCATGAATGCGTGATACAATTTCTTCTACAAAACAAGAAAGTGGTGTATACAAGGTACAATTCTAATACGAGTATGTCACAGATCTCTTTAGAAATCCCACAGTACATCACTTTACACTAGACGTGATTAGTTGCTTTATACTCTATCACTTGTTTACAGTTCCCCACGTGTTTTGCAGGAATTCAGCCGGCTTCCTCAGGAGGAGGAGGTCTAAAAGTATTATTATCATTATTTCTACTGTGACCACAAAGAATCTTTCTGCCTTTTGGAACAACTCAAAGCAACAATATACCCCCAATGGTCCTACCAGTGACCATTGGGGTTATATAGAGATCACAGAAGAATTACAGGATCAGTATATCAAATATCAGTATTTTGAATAGGTCTCCCCAACCCTTTGTAATCTTATGTAAAGCAAACAGGGGCTTCAGTTGCATTGAGGATTGATATTGGAACTACATTCCCTTGCATTAAAACCTATATTATTCAGTGTGCCTTCTGCCCAGGGTCCCACAAACAGGATACCATTAAAGGCCTATTTGGTCTTATAGGTTTTCTTTTTGACCTCATCCGCTCAAGGCACCAAACCACCTAATCCTTCAGCATCATGATCCAACTTTTGACCCATCATATCTTAGAACTTTGACAGTATACACAATGATAGTTGTGTGGATTAAAGAGCTGATTTAATTTTACAATACATTTAAAATACAGGTGTAGTACATTTATAAATACTGCTTTTTTTGTGTGTTTGTTCAGGGATATGGGCTTGGAGCTTTTCCGGTGTCATGTTATAAGTGACAAACTAGTTCAGACAAAGACGATTGATGGCATCCTCCTCCTCATTGAGAGGGAACGTTCTGGAGAAGCTGTGGACCGTAGCTTGTTGCGAAGTTTACTTGGAATGCTGTCTGATTTACAAGTGAGTAAGCAGACCTTTTTATGCTAGCCTAACAACCCCAATGAAGAGACATGTATACAATTTGTTTTAAAGTCTATCTGAAAAGCCTGTTAAAGTTTTAAGGAGTTGCCCAAAGATGCAAGTTTCCTCAGACTGATGTTTGCATGTAAAGCCTTCTAGTGGTTTCTGTCAACTTCAGGGAATGTAGTTTTGCAGACTGGATAGAACTTAACCCCTTCATGACTGATGCCCTTTTTTCATTTTTTTGTACCCATGTTATATTCCACATTTTAGGCCTGAAAATTACTTAAAACCCCCCAACATTATATATTTTCTGAATGCCAAGACCCTATAGAATAAAATGGTGGTAGTTGCAAATTTTTATGTTGCGCAATATTAGCGCAACTCCTTATTAAACCCCAATATTTAGTGAAAAATTTAATTAAATGCCCCAAAACACAACAAAATACCCATTTTTCTAATGAAATATAAAAGATGAGGTTACAACGAGTAAAACGATACCCAACATGCCCAGGTTACAAATTGCGTGCATCCGTAAAACGGCGAAAAACCCCAGATTGACTTACTTACAGTGGATGTTGCTCTTTGATATTTCAAAGTTTTAGCTTTCTTCAGAATCAACTGGTCCCCTGAGCACTAGCCCTGATATTCTGTCTTATGAGGACAACCTTATGTGTGCAAGTAATCTGTGTATGTCTCCCCAAACACACAGGCACAACAAGGCAAGACAATCCCCTTCTTCTCCTTTTTCCTTTGTCCCTCCTTCCCTTTTCCAGGCTAGTAGGTAGACAGCTGCTGTGCACTTTCCCTTGTGCTCTTATACTGGACAGAAAAGTACAAGAAAAAAAGAGCTGAGAGAGTTAGAGCCAGCTGCTATGAAACATGATGACAATAAAATGTAAAATACTTTGCTGGGCAATGCATATTATTTCGACCTGGATTCATTATTGAAAAAAGGTTTTAGAATTTACTAGTTTAATAATCAGACCTGCTTAAGTGTCAACTTGTTCCCATTAGACTACCATTGAGGAGCACAGGTAGTCTTTCACCTTTGGGTTATACTGCAGCCTACAGGAGGACTGTACACTGGTAAACAAAAAAACTGTAGGCCTGCCCAGGATAACCCCTCCTATTACCAGCATGACTCAATTTTTTTTTTTGCTGTTGTCGTAGGAGGATGATGTCTTCTCTTCAGGTGTGCTGTGTGGAAAATTAACGTATAGCATCATTTTTTCTTACGCTTCAAAATTTTTCGTCTTCAATCCAGGCTGTTATTTACATCCCTGCCAGAGCTTGTCTTTTCTTTTGTGGCTATCTGGCGCAGCCATCCTCATCCTGGCTTTTGGACTGCTTCTTCCGCACCCTGCTAGACTGGAATGTTGTGGGGCTAGCCTGAAAGTTACCTTAGGGCACTGGTTGCCATGCAGTGCAGTTTCCACACTCCCTGGTTCTGTTAATAGTTAGGCATGGAGCAGCTCCAAATCCACTGCCATTACCTCACCCCCTGCCCTTTCTCTGAAGACTCAGTTTGTGAATATGCCGATTGGGCTGACTACCATAAGCTACCTCATTGACCTAGGTCACTGTGTGCCTTTTTAAAATTCCCTGTTTCCTGCTGGTTTCCACCACAGAAGAGGTTAACACAGCTTACAGCTTTTACTTGTGTTGTCCCAAGTCTAGGCTCCTACCAAGCTGTTCACTCCTCCCAACTGGCTGGCACCTCTGTTCCTGTTCAAGAGGACTTTGTTTAAAAGTGCTTTGGAGGCCGTTTCTGAAACCTTGTTCTCCTTGGCAGGCCATGACTTGCAATCTGTTTTGTCTGTGACACTTGTCTCTCAAACTCTGGCTGACTGGGTAAGGCCATGAGTAAGCAGCCTAAACTACTGCGTGGATAGGTTGTTAGAGGTCTCCCACCTCCTTTCCCATATGTTTCCCGTCAGTGATCATAGGGAGAACTCTTTGGTTAAAATATTGGGCTGTGGAGCTGGCAAGGCAAAAAGCAGCTGCTTCGGTCCACACTTCAAAAAACACGTTTTGAACCTACTAGAGATATTCCCCTTTTTTGCTCACTCCCTCAAGGTTGGGTTCCTTGTTGCCATCACTGGCAGCCTTATCCTGTAAAGAACCCTTTCTGGTCTTGCATAAGGATAAGGTGGTTTTAGGTCTTCCCTACCTTAGTTTCGGTCTTTTGCCTCAACCTGGATATCGTTCTTCCGTCCCTCTGTCTGACTCCCTGTTCATCAGAACGAGATCTCCCTCCATTGCCTGGATGTAGTTTGTGCTATCCCTGTCTACCTCACAGCTACTGCTTCCGTAGGTAAGACTATCGTTGTCATTCCTGATAGTCCCCATAAAGGGAACCCTGCTTCTTGTTCCGTAAGGGTAAAGACTTACTGTCCGTCCAATGCCTTCAAGAAAAGGATTTTATTTTACAAAATTCCTTTTTTTTTTTTTTTTAACTATGCTTGAATCATGGCAGTTTAGTTTACGTTTTCTGGTCTAATGCAGTTGTTTATCATCATTGTTTATTAATATTTTCTGTTTTCTTCTTTTATAAGGCAAAAATGTAATAATCTACACTCATTTGCTTTGGTTCAATTAGATGTACAAAGATTCATTTGAGGCAAGATTCCTCGAAGACACAAATTGCCTGTATGCAGCTGAAGGGCAAAGACTAATGCAAGAAAGCGAGGTGGGTACACTTCTAGATTTTATGGGCTGCTTGATTTTTACTTTCCCTTCTTACTTCAGCTCAGTAAATGGAACTCATAACTATTTATCTTTTACGAAGTTTATAAACATTTTACATGCAAATGTTAATAGATATTGTTTCATATACATCTGGTATTTTAATTTTAAATGTCCTTGTTATAGTTGGAGATATTTTTTTTAAACAGTCAGTGTAAAATAACACGCCAAGGCAATGTAATATTGTATAGGAGGTTCTCAGCTGACATCATGGGTGCATTCCAGGGAATGTGCATGTTATGTAGATTTCCCATAATTTAAATACATTCTTTCTAGTGTATTTGCATTCCTTGTGTAGATGTTTGTTTTTACTTACAGTTGTGTGAAAAAGTGTTGGCCCCCTTCCTGATTTTTCATTGTTTTGCACGTTTGTCACACTTTAATGTTTCAGATCATCAAACAAATTTAAATATTAGTCAAAGATAACACAAGTAAACACACCATGCAGTTTTTAAAGGAAGGTTTTTATTATTAAGGAAAAACAAAATCCAAACCCACATGGCCCTGTGTGAAAAAGTGTTTGCACCCTAAAGCTAATAACTGGTTGGGCCACACTTAGCAGCAAGAACTGCAATCAAGCGTTTGCGATAACTTGCAATGAGTCTGTTACAGCGCTGTGCAGGAATTTTGGTCCACTCATCTTTGCAGAATTGTTGTAATTCAGCCACATTGGAAGGTTTTCGAGCATGAACCGCCTTTTTAAGGCCATGCCACAGCACCTAAATAGGATTTAGGTCAGGACTTTTTTTCAGCCATTCAGAGGCGGACTTGCTGGTGTGTTTTGGATCATTGTCCTGCTGCAGAATCTAAGTTCGCTTCAGCTTGAGGTCACGAACAGATGGCCGCACATTATCCTTCAGGATTTTTTGGTAGACAGCAGAATTCATGGTTTCATTTATGACAGCAAGTCTTCCAGGTCCTGAAGCAGCAAAACAGCCCCAGACCATCGCACTACTACCACCATATTTTAATGTTGGTATGATGTTCTTTTTCTGAAATGCGGTGTTACTCTTACACCTTTCAAAAAGGACACACACCTTTCAAAAAGTTCAACTTTTGTCTCGTCACTCCACGGAGTATTTTCCCAAAAGTCTTGGGGATCATCAAGATGTTTTCTGGCATAACGGAGACAAGCTTTTGTGTTCTTTTTGCTCAGCAGCGGATTACGTCTTGGAACTCTGCCATGCAGGCCATTTTTGCCCAGTCTCTTTCTTATGGTGGAGTCATGAACACTGACCTGAACTGAGGCAAGTGAGACCTGCAGTTCTTTAGATGTTGTTGTGGGGTCTTTTGTGACCTCTTGGATGAGTCGTCGCTGCGCTCTTGGGGTAATTTTGGTTGGCTGCCCACTCCTGGGAAGGTTCACCACTGTTCCATGTTTTCGCCATTTATGGATAATGGCTCTCACTGTGGTTTGCTGGAGTCTCAAAGCTTTAGAAATGGCTTTATAACAATTTCCAGACTGATAGTTCTCAATTACTTTCTTTCTCATTTGTTCCTGGATTTCTTTGGATCTCGGCATGATGTGTAGCTTTTGAGGATCTTTTGGTCTACTTCACTTTGTCAGTCAAGTCTTATTTAAGTGATTTCTTGATTGTAAACAGGTGTGGCAATAATCAGGTCTGGGTTTGGCTAGAGAAATTGAACTCAGGTGTGATAAACCGGAGTTAAGTTTATGTCTTAACGGGGGCAAACACTTTTTCACACAGGGCCATGTGGGTTTGGGTTTTGTTTACTTTAATAATAAAAACCTTCCTTTACAAACTGCATGTTGTGTTTACTTGTGTTATCTTTGACTAATATCTAAATTTGTTTGATGATCTGAAACATTAAAGTGTGACAAACGTGCAAAACAATGAAAAATCAGGAAGGGGGCCAACGCTTTTTCACACAACTGTATGCCCTGTAAGTAAATTAATCTTCCATTAACGAATTATTTTCAATACAGCAAGTTAGAATTAAATTAACAAAATCAGAAAAAAAAATAAACTTGCTATGCTGATATAAGTGTGATACAGTGTGAAAATAATGCACCCACCTCAATGCTATATGGTGGTGTGAACAGGGCACTTCGAAAACAGTTGTTTTCTATGTGTCCTTGCTGTGAGCCTGCGTTGATCTGCGCAAATTAACACGTGTTTACCATACACAGTGTGACTGAGCCCCAAATATAACTACTCAGCATAATTGAACTGTATTCCCACCGGGGGTTGTGGTTCAAGGCTAGCAATAAATGGCTTAATCCTGCCTCTATACAGTTCCCAGATGTGACATTTGAGCGAGGATTGGGCTTTTTAGAGGTGAGCAAGGGAGGAGATGAGCAATTCCCATGCTAAAGGAACTGCATTACCTCAGAACACGACAACCTTGCTGATCTTTCCCATGATTGGGTGTCTCCATGTCCTTCATTCTTGTAAAGGGGGAGACATGCGAGTAAGGTCATTTTGAGCTTGTATTGTGTAAAGAGGGGAACAGTGGGGTGCAGGTGATGAAAGTATTGCTCATTCTTACAATGCTTCCTCTTTCTTTAATGCATGATGTGCATTATTTTAAACTGGGCCATATAAATAAAAAAAAAAGCAGTTTGTACATGCATTAAAAATCTGCAGAGATCTCCCTGTACAGTAAATTAATAATGACCTCGCTTTTGTATAGGTCCCGGAGTATCTCCATCATGTGAACAGGCGCTTGGAAGAAGAGTCGGACCGAGTAATCACATACTTGGATCATGGGACACAGTAAGTAATTACAAGTAGCATGAGAAGTACAAATAGTTTAATGCTGATTTATTTATTTTTGTAGGTAAACTCTACTGCATCATTGCTTAGAAAGATATTTAATGTTGCTGAAGAGGGAGGCTGTGATGCCGGGTAGCTGGCTGGCGTATTTTCAATTGCGCGATTTCCTTACCGGGCTGGCTGCGAGAGGTTGCCCAACGAGGGAGCTTTCTACCTTTGAGAAATTATGTGTCTCCAGAGACCCCCCAGCACGCATGATTTCTACTATATACGGGTTTTTGCTGTCAGAGCGCGCCTCGCCTACCCCCTCCTTTTGTGAGGGACTGGGAGAGAGATATAGGATGCAACCTCACGGTTGAGGACATCTCTAAATCCTTTGCCTTGACAAACACCATGTCCGTAGCGAGCAGATATCAAGAGAGAAATTATAAGGTCCTGTCGAGATGGTACTACTGTCCTACTAGACTCCAGGCCATGTATCCATCTACCTCCGCACTATACTGGCGGTGTCTGTCACATCCAGGGACGATGTTGCACATCTGGTGGTCCTGCCCTCTGCTGACCTGGTTTTGGGAAACTATTTTCGATACCTATGATCGGATCTTTCACACCAAGGTGGACAGGTCTCCACAGGTGGCCCTTCTGTCCGTGCTGCCAGGTTCGGTCTTATCGGCTAAGAAGGGTCTCCTCAGATTTTTCGTGATGGCGGCTAAGGCGGTTATACCGCGTCACTGGAAGTCGAGTACTCTCCCTACTACCCGTGAGTGGGTTCTTGAAATGCATAATATATGCCGGATGGAGGAGCTCACTGCAGCTCTGTACCACCGAGATGCCAAGTTTACTGCTACTTGGAGTGTCTGGTTGCATTTCTGCACTACTGAGGGCTTTACCAGTCTGGTGACGCTATAATTGGACACCTCAGTGAAGAGACGCATTGTAGAGTACCCCGGGAACTGTGGCTGTACCATACGAAGGTTGTATGATGTTGTTGTGCCTTAACACTGTAGTGCTGGAGTGCCTTGGGAGTGGCCGTGACGTTTAGGTCTTTATTGCACTTGATGTATATGCTCCAGGTCTTTCATGTTCTTCTGTATTGTCTTGTTTACTGACATGTACGAAAATCTTCAAAATAAATATATTCTTTAAAAAAAGAAAGATATTTAATAAAGTGTCGTAGAAGAAGACCTTTTCAGCATACTATTGTTTTTTTTTTCTTGGGACATCCTTATTTCATTTTGCTAGTGTTTTTCCCTCAGTCAGATGGTTTTATTTTTTCTGGCTCACTGATGAGATTGTAGCAAAATGCAGATTTTCAGACACTAAGGCTAACATTCATACTGAGCTGGATGCAGAAGAACATCCAGCGTCAGTGTTACAGGGCAGCCAGGATAAGTAATAGAAGCTTACAGTCAGCTGTGTCTTTAATGTCACAACATTTAATGTCACAACATGTAAGCTACCACACCTCTCACAGTCTGCTGATGATCTTCAGCTCATTGCATATATTTAGACCAGTTGTTTTGGCATTTGGGCATGCTTGGCAGAATTAGATACCAACTACAGACTTTTAGCCACAGTGTGGCATATTTTATATCTATTGGTGACATTTATTTGGGTATTCAGTATTTGGTATTTTTGTAAAGAAGCAAAAAATGTTATATGCGTGTGTGAACTAGGTATGCACTATGTTTTCAATATATGCAGCGCCAACAAAAAATGGTGGATAAATTGAGTGAATGTGGTTAAAACAATATACCGCAAACAATATACAATAAATGATGTACTGAAATCTTGTTAATCCGTGAATCAATCAAACTTAATAAAAATGTGGAAATATACAACAAATGTACATTTATACATATCAAATAAATTGAAAAAGTTTTTTAAGACAAGTGCTGTGTACTTCTTTTTTCAAACACCATGGGTGCAATAAGGTGTTCCAAGTGTGGAAAGTTTATAAATTCAAAAAAAGAGCAGACCTGCTAAACCCCTGAGGACGTCAGTAAGACGAAACGCGTAGGGGCGGGCCTATCTTTATGCTACACCAGACACAGGAGTTTGCAGAGTATCCTGTCTGCCGATCGGAATATTTTTTTGGGGATTTCGTTGTCCTGCTTTTACTTGATTCAAATAAAATCCTTTTTGAAATTGCTACGCAATGAGAGGCTCTTTTCTTATTTGATTTTGGAGACAAACAGTCTGCTGGCTGGGGACTGTTGAGAGTTACCACGAGGATGTCATGGCTCTGGGAAAATCTGTTTCCTTCAAAGCGTTTCAGGCTGCTTACTACAGCCACTACATTGTGGTGAGTACACACCCCGAGGGGAGACGTACGGCATTAGCCCGCATCCCCAACAATTATCACGGAACATTTTTCTGTTTCTTTGAATTTATCAACTCTTTTTTTTTTTTTTTATTTATAAACTTTCCACACTTGGAACACCTTATTGCACCCATGGTGTTTGAAAAAAGAAGTACACAGCACTTGTCTTAAAAAACCTTTTCAATTTATTTGATATGCATTTGTTGTACATTTCCACATTTTTATTAAGTTTGATTGATTCACGGATTAACACGATTTCAGTACATCATTTATTGTATATTGTTTGCGGTATATTGTTTTAACCACATTCACTCAATTTATCCACCATTTTTTGTTGGCGCTGCATATATTGAAAACATATACGATTTGACCTTTGTTGGTCCTTATTGCCGCAGCCTTCTTATTTAATCACTTAGTTTAGTTTTAGACAGAGCACTCTTATTTCACCTATCCAGCGCAGAATCAATAAACACATATAGGTATGCATTATGCTGGTATACATTGTTTGATGGTGTTTGCTAGGGATGATTTTATCATATGTCATAAGAACTGAGCAGTGCTTTCTTCTTTCTCAATCAGTAAACCTCTGATAACTTGTGTAGAGAAACAATTACTGGGAGAGCACTTGGCTGCCATCTTGCAGAAAGGTAAGCAGTTTAAATGTTTGCATCATCATCCCAGTTTTCTTGGTTCTTGTCAATGTCTGGTAAGCTGTTTCACTAGTACATGCTAATATTGCTCAGTTGCATTATAAATACTTTTTTTCGGGGCTGCAACCTAATACTTTGGGATCAAATGGTCTGTAGCAGGGGTATCCAAACTTGGGCCCTCTGGCTGTTGTGTCTCATCAGACATTGCAAGGCTGACAACCACGGGTGTGACTTCCACAGGCATGATGGGATTTGAAGTTTCACCATGGCTAGAGAGCTGAAGTTTGGCTACCCCTGATCTATAGGTAACAACTAGAGGTGCACTGAAATGGAAATGTTAAAACCGCAACGAAACCGAAATAAAAAAAATTGTCAAGCCGAAACCGATACCGAAAAAGTACTCCTTTTTCTGTATTCCCCTGTTATCAATGAACAGGAATCCTCTATTAGTGTTCCTGTTCATTGATAACATGAGGACATTGTTTGCTATAACTACAACTATGAATGAACAGGAGGAGATGTAGATCACTCTTATTCATTCATAATTGAGGATATAGTTAACATACCATGTCCTCAATTATGTACAAACACTCAGCGATCACTGAGCGTTGGTGCTCTCCTCTCTGACACGCTGTCACAGGAGGCTGAGCGAGCGGTGCGGGGAGGAGAGCTCAGCCTCCTGTGACAGCGCGTCCTGTCTCTGTCCACACACCACTCTGTCGGACTGTGATAGGAGGCTGAGTGGTGTGGGAGGAGACGCTGGCCGGTCACAGCGATCTCCTCCTCCAGCGCTTGGCCGGCTATCACAGTCTCTCTCCTCCCCCTGGGACACAGAGCAGCGCCCTGTAGGGATGCGCCATGTGTCGGCAGGAAAATGGCACTTTCGGACGATATATCGGTGCATCCCTAGTAACAACACCCGGTTAGCCAAACAGGGAATTTCTGATTTTTACCTAGACATTTTTTTTAATTCCGCTAAATCATTCTTTGGTGAAATAAGTAAGAATTCAACATCAAGAAGTCTAAAAAAGATGTCTGATTCACCAGTTGTAAATGCTGTGCTTGAATATTAAATTTTGAAAGGAATTTTCCACTTACTGACCTGCTGTATACTGTGGGGGGAATTTATTAAAACTGGAGCAGTTGCCCATAGTAACCAATCAGCTTCTCTCTTCAGTTTGTTCATTTAAGATTTGAAAATGAAAGAGAGAAGCTGATTGGTTGCCGTGCACAGCTGCTCCGGATTTCGTCTGCTCCAGTTTTTTGATAAATTCCCTTCTGTATGTCTAGGAACAGCTGTAGAAACATGTAGCAATGCGTGTGCACTGTAAATACCTACTGTACTTGCTTGCTGTAAAATAGTTGGTGCTTATGGCTCATTTAGTATCCAGTATACGTGTATTAAGCCATGGAAGAAAACCAATTACAATTACCCAACAGCCCAACCTCATGCTCACAACTCGCCCTGTTTTCTATCTCCTAGGTTTAAGTTACAGTATCAGACAGATCCCTGCAGATAATAGAAATGTAAACCGTTGTGAGGCTCTGTTATCTCATACTGTTATATGGACACAGGAGTAGGGAGGCAGAGACCTAAAAAACAAATCTTGCCATCTGCCATCATGTTTTATTTTTGTATGATTAGTACCATCTACAGACTTTGATTAAAGAAAATCTGATTTGTGTGTTTTAATAGTTCTTTGTGGTTTTGTACCAACACAGGTTTGAAGAACATGCTGGATGAGAACAGAGTTCCTGACCTGACACTTATGTATCAGCTTTACAGTCGGGTCAGAGGTGGTCAGTCAATCCTGCTGCAACACTGGGGGGAGTATATTAAAGTATGCAGTAACTATTTTATAATCTGTACAACTGTAAAAAAAAAAAAAAAAAGGAAAACTGGACTGAGCGTGATAAGCACCTCTCATTATTGACTTCTTCTACTGAAAATGTTACTTGCCTGGCTGTTGTGGTGATCCGCTACCTGAGGTGACCCGGAGTCGCAAGTACATCAGATGTTCTGACGTTACTTGCTGCACACTTGTTTCAGGTCTGTGACATGGAAAGCATTGAGGTCAGGGATAGCTAAGCAATTTGCATTTTCAGATGGACAACTTTGTAGCTTCAGTATTTCTCTCCGTTCTCGTGTGAAAACCAAAACAATGCACTTCTCTTACTTGCTCCTTTTGGTCTGTTAAAGAAGAACAACAGGAAAATGTTTTATTAACCCTTGCAGTGAAGCTACCCCTCTACTGCAAGGGTTAAGTGTTCGTTTTTGTTAAAAAATAACAGTTATACTCAACCGAAGCTTCGAGCCATCCAGCTGTTACAGTGCTCCCTTCAGCCTGTCTCCTCCTCCGCTGCAGCACTAGTATGTTCTTCAGCATCCTCAAGTCTATACAAAGTATATAAAACATGATGATTAACCGGACCTCAGACAGCTGCAGAGCGGTAGAGATGCTGGAAGGACTGGTCTAAGAACAAGGCAGCTCCGCGGTACAGATGAGTATAACTTTTTTGTTTTTTTTTACCTGGACAAAAACGAGCAGTTAACTCTTGACGTAGTCACGCTGCAAGGGTTAATCCTTTTTCCTGGAGTTCTTCTTTAAATATACCATTAAACATGTTTTGTTTATATCTGTGCAAAAAAATAGCTGATGATCCATTCCGAAATCTAGTAAGGTCATCACTTCCTGTGTTCTGTGCCTGCGCTGCCCTCTTATCAGTTAGCATTGTTCCCCGCTATCTCTGTGGACTATAGAGCACATCACCTTATGTGATGGACAGAAAGAAAGGGACAGGTGTTCTGTAATCCTTACACACTTCCTGTTCTGGGGTGACAACACTGCTCATCCATAAGGTGAGTTAAGGTGGTGGTTGTTCTCTAACAAAGTTTTTCAAATTGGAATGAACCAGATTATAACCTTCTTTTTTTTTGTTTGTTTGTTTGTTTGTTTCATGTACCTAAAGTCTATGTCCAGGGGACTGCCCTTGTAGTGGGACTACCCCACGGCAAGGGTGAACTATTTGTTCATGGGACCTGTGTAAAGGTCTTTTACTTACCTGATCTCCGCTCTCACAGGTTTCAAAGCTGGTGCCTGCAGCCTCTTCCCCCCTCCACTCTGGCAATTGGTGGCCCGCTGACGTCATCACTTTTAATGTAGGGAACATAGCCTTGCATTAGGATGTGAGGATGCCAATGGACAGCCTACAAACCAGAGCATAGGTGAGAGAGGTGAGCTCTGACTGCTGGGGGAGGAGGGGATCAGGTAAATAAAGTCCTCTTCACAATACACCTAGAGATAAATGAGCAGTTAAACCCTTGCAATGCAGAGGTAGCCCCTCTGCAAGGGGAGATAGATTTTAAAGTGTATTTCCAGTTTTTGCAGCCAAATTGAGTTAACACCTATTTTATATTTCTTGCATGTTCTAATTCACATAGCCCAACTTAAGCAAAAAATTTAAATTGCTGCATACCTATTTCGATATGTTTTTGCTGAAAGCTACAAGACTAAAAAAATCCTATCTAGCTCTCCCTTTTTGTGAGCAGTCTGGGCAATTGTGTTTGCCATAATCAACCCTGTCTGTACTGGCAGATCTCCATTATCAGTTGCAAACTAGATTTGCAAGACTGTCTGCACTTCAGTCTGTCCCCTTATCTTTACATTGCTATCTATCCAAAGCAGTAGAAGCTTGCCTATAGAGTCCTATGTAAAGTCTGCTTTAAAGTGACACTAAACTCAGGAGATAATCTTAAAAATGCATTCAAGTACCTTAACTACTGGTATTAACAAAAATGTTTCTTATTTGTGTATCACTCAGCTGTAGATCCTCAAATCATCTCTGAATTGATACTGACACTATCCTTCCTTCTGGAGGGGGCTACTTTTGTTCCCCATGGTCCCTGTGTGTGTTGTAAAGAAGCCACCGCTCCAAGCTCACTCCTGTGATGGACTACAATCTCAACACAAATTAGTAAACTAAACATGAGATTGTAGTCCACCATGGGAGTGAGCTTGGAGCGGTGACTACTTTATATCACAAAGGAGTGATGCACAAATAAGCTACATTTCTGTTATTAGTTAGGATACTCAAATGTATTTTTAAGAGTTAACTCCTGCGTTTAGTGTCACTTTAAGGAAACGGCTAAACAGGTAATGTTTTTTTTTTTTAAATGATGTTGAGGTATGCTGTGGGAATAGGAATACATATAGAAGAGGGCTCTCAAATTTGACTGCATAGGCGGCAATGCACTTTAAAATAATATTATATGATTGGCTCCAGTTTATTATTTATATTTTTTAATTTATATATGTAATGTAAGCTGCACTGAATTTTCCTCCCATATGTATGTTCATTTTCACCCTGTTACAGAACTTTGGGAGTTCGATAGTGGTGAATCCAGAAAAAGACAAAGACATGGTTCAGGAATTACTGGATTTCAAGGATAAAGTGGACCAGATAATTGATGTCTGCTTCCAGAAGAATGACAAATTTGTCAGCGTGATGAAAGAATCCTTTGAGACATACATTAACAAGCGACCTAATAAACCAGCAGAACTTATAGGTACAACCAAAGCTCCTGTTTGGCATGAAGCATTTACTGTAAAAGATAATGTAAACAAATACCTAAAGTATGCTTTTCATAGCCTGCCATAAAAAAAGAGAACACATATAAGTAAGCGCTCCTCAAAGGAGATTGTTCTAAAACAGAAATTAAAATGACAAATTATCTATAAAAAAAAAAAGAATTGTAGCAATTTATAAGATGATGTAACTTATTGGCATTTAGGCAATGTTCAAACTTTACTGCTAAAAACCAAATAAGTCATGGTCTTCACAGTGTATTCAAGTATATTTCAAGCCAAGATTCTTTTATTTTGTTTATTTCGGATGGGGTTAGTAAGTTGGAGCTGTGGAGCTTTCTTGGATGATTCTCTCCTGGTGACAATTGTCACCGCAAGATGAAGTGAGAAATGTTACAGTTGTCACGAAACATGATTAGAAAATCTTCCAACTGAGACATGTTCCAGTGATGCCTGCCACTTTGGAGAGATTTCATCTCATTTTGTGTTTTGTCTTTGGGAAAGGATGTATAAAATGAAGATTAATATCCCAATGGAAACACGAAAAAGTGATTAAACCTGACAGAACTTCTAACTTTCCCTCACTGTATTCCAAAGTCTGAGCAGTGAGATTTCCCCTAATTTCCTGGAAAGGAACTGAGGAAAGTTTTGTATAGTGGGAACCCAGACAGCATGGAAAGCTCAACAGTGGTTTTAACCTTTTCGCACTGTATCCAAAACAAAAATAAAGCTTTATTCTGACTTGAGTTTAAAAGAAAACTTGCATTCACACCATCTACGCTCGGCCTGAGTTGGCTTTGTTTTGCAGTGCAGCCCGAACGCAAGACAAGGCAGTTTGCCTTGTTACGAGTGTTGGCAGTTCACGCCACTGCATTCTGGTGGTGTGCTCTTGGACGTGCAGTACTTTTTTTTTCAGCGCACTGCAGTAAGACACTGTACAACGGTGAGCCTATAGAACGTAAAGAAATGTCACTTGTGACATTTCATTAAGTTCTAACCAAAAAAATAGAGACAGTGCGGTTCGGTACCATCGACTTCATCGGCACTGTCTGGGCACACACCAGCAGCCGCGCGGTTGCTGGTGTGAACAAGCCCTTAAAGTGCTGCTAGGATTCCGGTGTAAGCACTGGCATCATTTAATGCATCTCTGCTGTCTAGGAAGCTAAGAGTGATTATCTAAGTGGTAAAAGTGTGCTGCTTGCTTTAGCTGATGTGTTGTAGTTATTAGCATTGCCCACTTGAGGGCATCATTTCTTTTGCAGTATGCACTATTGGAAATCTTGTCACCTTCCATTACTTTTGGTTTAACATTCTGTTTGCTTTACATAACTTGTAACAGTTGTATAATACACAGTTCTCCTCCTCTTTTCCTTCACAGCTAAATATGTTGATTCGAAGTTGCGCTCTGGAAACAAAGAAGCCACTGACGAAGAACTTGAAAGATTCCTTGATAAAATTATGATCATTTTTAGGTTTATTCATGGTATGTGGGTTGTTTTATTTTACAGAATACAGTAGCTATTACACTATATACAATATAGGGGACAACACGTATTAACGTAGTTTGAATCTCATTTTACTGATGGTAAAACTGGCCATACACTGCATGCAGGGATGAACAAGAAAAGAAACTCGATTTTCTCCATCCACGCTGAACAGCTTGGGTGTGGAATATACACTGCTGATTCCTGTATTCCGACAGTCACTGTTCAGATAGCAATTTTCCCCCTGGCTCCTTTGATAAGTCAATTTAAAGTGTCAACTTTTGTTGAACTGGCAAGGCCATGTAAGGCCAGCTTAGGACGGTCTTTTCATCTTGCCTCTTGCAAGTGTTCATGCTATACATAGTTTTAATTTGTCAGTTTATTTTCATATCGGTGTTCATTGCCTTGTACAGTGTACAGAATAATCCAAATAGATTTTGTTTCAATGTATAAAGGAGAACTCAAGGCAACATAGAAAATTAAAATAGCTCTTTGGTCTCAAACACAGATCGGCAAAAGATCTCCTTTAACAGTTGGGCCTCCTATAATACCAAGCCCTCATTTAGCATAGGAATTGTGTATTCAAACAAGCTTAGATCTTATAACTTCACGCTCGGCTCGTACCACAGCAGCAAGCAATTTTCCAGTTAGGATCACTAGACTTAAGATAATATTTATAGCCACAGAAGAGAGTGCAAGCAAAGTGATTAAATAAAGGTGGACCATCTTTATTACTAGCACTGGGTTTTCTTCCCGCCCGTGATCAAAGGGGATTGGCGTGTTGAGACCCTGGTAATATAAGGTGAGTGGTACTCTTAAGGGAGTGTGTGGTGGAGGTCACAGAAAGTGCGGAGGAATGCACTGTGTTTATATCGATTCATTGGCCACTGGAACTTTATGAATGATTTTGGAAAACATTATTTTTCATCCTTTTGCATTATTGGATAATTGATTGACATGTATTATTTGTGTGTTTCACTCTTTTTTTTTTTCTTTTTTTTTTACTATTTGTAAAGATTTGTTGTTGTGTGGCACTGGCACAAAAGTTTGTCAGATACATTGAAAAGCTTTTTGCCTAGTGATGCACTTAATATGCAGTGATAGGAGTATGTAAAGACTGTGAAATTCTTAAGGATATTTTCTATAGAAAACAAATGTCTGAAGTGTGTTAATAGTTATTCCTTTGTTAACATCTTAAAGATGAACTCCAAGTGGGTAGCTAGCATACAAAGGAAAATACATTTGTTAGCAATTTTATCTTCCAAAGGAACTGAAATTCTGTCCTGCCATTGTGATTCATCCACTTTTTCCACAATTTAAAGCCAAGCAGGTGACCACAGGTATTCTCTTTTTAAGCTTTGTGACGTCCTGTGTCACTTGTCTGCTGTTTGGATAATGAATCTGCAACATTACACTGCTGATTTTATTGTCCAAGGAGCATACAAGTCTCGGCACTCGTGAGGAACACACTAGAAGCTGACTATACTAGAGGGAAAACACACCTGAAAACACTTGGCCCCCTCCACCTCATGTAGTGGTGTCGACTGACGGTCCTTTTGGACTCCTCCATGATATATAAATTCCCCTGAAGAGCCCATTAGGGCGAAACATGTCGGGTTTTATCTGAATGAGTTCTCTTTTATGCCTTATTTTAATAATAATTGTTGACTTGATGTGACATCTACTGCATGCGAAATAGACCAATTATGTTTCAACTTTGTTCATTTCCAATTATGTAATTAATTAATTCATATTTTTTATACAATTGGAGAGTTTATAGTATTTCTTAAAAGCCCCTCCCCTTTCGGTAATTGCATACCTTAAGGTGGAATCTACTCCTCGCATTTCTTTCTAGTCAATCTATTTGGGGTGTGAAATCTTGCTCTCCTCGTTCTTTATTGCTCTAATACACGCCAACTAAAACCTACCTACAATCTCTTTATGCTTGCCTTACCTTTGTTCCCTCGCAGGTCCTTGCTTCCCCACAGCTGGCATGAATGGCTGACACTTCATGTATGGGGGTCCTGCTCCCTTTTGACAATGTACAGGCCTAGCAGCTAGTCCCGTGTACTGTCATATGACTGGGTGAGTGACTATAGTGCTCCCCCAGGTCACATACACAGCCTATTTTAGCACAGAATGTGGAGGAGCAAGCAACTCTAAGTTATGAATGGAGTCCTTTCCAGAGACAGGATCATTTTGCCCTGCACGAGTGACGTGACAGTGTCTCTATAACTTCACTTCAAACCTACAATAGCCACTGCTACAAGCACTGCATTTCTCTTTCAATGTATTTCATCTCCCTTTCCGCTCAGTTAACAGATTTTATTTTTTCTTTCAGGCAAAGATGTGTTTGAAGCATTTTACAAAAAAGACCTTGCTAAAAGACTATTGGTGGGGAAAAGTGCATCCGTTGATTCAGAGAAATCTATGCTTTCCAAACTAAAGCATGGTATGAAAGGTTTCTTTATACTAAAACGAATCTGGAACTGTGACATAAAAGAATGAGCAGTGTTTATTGATGCCTTTCCTCTTCTTTTTTTTCTTGAAAGTTGAATTCCTCAACACTCTTGTTCATGATTGTATACTTAATCAGTGACTCAGAAACTATTGGAAATGGCCAGGGAACAAAAATGTTCAGAAGGAAAGGTTGCTAATGCCAGCTTCTGTAATCTATATAACATTACTAATCTTTCCTTCTGATAATGTTAGTTCTCTGGCTGTCTTGCTGTCCTCACTTTTTTTGAGTCGTGGATGTGAAACAAGTTTACAGCATTCTTCAGAAGAAGTATGCCTTCAGGGAGACCTAATGCTAGTCATGCATGCTGTGACTGCTGTAGTGAAATAGGTAGGTGACTCAGTCATGCAGCTTGAAGACAAGATTGGTCCTGTACAGGCCTTAAAGGAAACCAGTGCTGTGAGAATTACGTAAGATGCCACTGTTAACTTCTCATTCTGTAATGACTACTTGCCTGGTTATACTGATCAAATGGTTTTAGTACTTGCTGATTCTTTGGCCCAAATAAGTATGCAGACTAGGAGCTTTGGCTTCACTTGCCGCAAACTGGTTCAGGTCAGTGACTCAAAGGATTCACAAGAAGGTTTGCAGTGGCAGCCTTATGTTTCTATCAGAGCGGGGTTTCTTTAAGCCATAGAAATAAGGTGGTTGTTCATACTCAAGTTGTTATTATACTCAATGCATTGCTAATTAAAATCAGACAATGTATCATCAACTTCACTGGAAGGAAGTCAGAGATACTTAACGCTTAGATAGTATTCATATAACTGACTATTTAATGGCTGCTATAAATGCATGACTTGAATCAAGATATACAATAAAGACCATATCCTCATTCATTCATGCCCCACAGTAGAAATATATCTGCTGTGGGTCATGAATGTATAAAAAAAAGTTTTCTGCTCAGCAGGTGAGTTTTTCAGTTGCAACATATATAGTGAGCCTGTCCCCTTGTTGTTTTTTTGCAGAGTGTGGTGCAGCTTTCACTAGTAAGTTGGAAGGGATGTTTAAAGATATGGAGCTCTCCAAAGATGTGATGATCCAATTCAAACAGGTAATAGCATTTTTTTGGAGGTGATGAAGGGGGCTTATTCAGAAAATGTACCTCCTTTATTCAGGCAGTGTGCAGTTGAGCTAAATGATGGATAACATATTCCATATTCCCTGCACTTGTCTACATGTCAACAAAAATATTTTTAAAAATTGCTATTCTGAAGAAACCAGAAAGGTTTCCATTAGGTTCAGGATCTGTGCAAACATTTTATAATTTTTACTAACATTAAAGTACCAAAACGTGTGGGGCTTTTTTTTCCATTTTGGATAAAACCCAACTTAATGCAAAGCATGTATATTTAGAAAGTTTAAAAAGAACCCTCCAAGAACGTTTTATATTCACCTTAGTCTGCCATTGACGTCGTGTGAGGCTTCATGGAGTCTCTTTCAAGAGTGAATACCCTTTATCTACTGCTGCAGGCCGGGCCGCTGCACTTTTGGCGCCCCTTCGAGTGAAGTCGGCATACTGCCGCTGAGGTCTTCAGAACCTGTTAGGACCTCACCGATGGAAAGCCAATGGGAAGTATGTTCGTTGAAAAACCCTCCAATTCTGCAGTTCAGAACATGGAAAACCTTGATTTTCAGCACATCATGTTTCCAAATTTAGGTGAGTATACACATATAGGCGATCAGCGGGTCCATAGCCCGCCGATCGCCTATATGTGCTCGTTCGCGGCAATCCCCCCCTCCACGCCCGGTCGGCGCTTCCGGCTTTTTTTTTCCCCCCCCCTGACCCCTCACCTTGATTCCCGGGATCCGCTGCCCCATCTTGGATCCCGGGACCGGCTCCGAGGGCGTCAGGAGGAGGAGGACGGGAGATCAGCTCCTTGCTGATCCCCGTCCGGGCTGTGAATGCAGAAGTGATGTGTATTACATCACTTCCGCATTCACCTGTCAGTCATCTGGCTGCTATAGCCAGAGAGAAGAAGCTGATGAAGCAGATCTCTGCTTCATCAGCTTCTTTTGGGGTCCACAGGTGATATTAGGGGTCCTAGAGACCCCTAATATCTCCATAAAGAGGACCTGTCAGTGTGCCTTTGCTATTATATAGGGGGTTGTTATCCCCCTATATAATAGCAATACCAATAAGTGCAAAAAAAAGAAATATAAATAAAAAAAAAAAAAAAGTAACACATAAAGTAAAATAAAACAAAATAAAGAAATGCAATAAATATTTCCCAAATGTTTTATTTACTACAAATAAAAGTTTGTTTGGGTTTTGAATGTGTGAAACAGCAATGGAAATGTGTACATCGTAACAATAAAGATGTGTGCAGAGACTTGTAACAGTGTAAAGTCTTATTTCAGGTAAAAAATAAATGCAGTACGTACCGCCAGTATAATAAAGTAGCTTTGTCCATTCTGTTTAAAAAAATGCAGTACCCGCTCTCAGATTTTTACTGCTGTTTGGTGCCCTTTTGGCAAGATTTCCTCTCACCTCATGTCCCAGTGACAACTTTGGTTTGTAAAGATAAGATGTTTTAACACACATTAACTTTTTAATATACCCAGGGATACATGGACCTTTGCAAATATAAACGTTTTATAGTTGCCATCAAAGGCCCAAGCCAATGTAATCATTGCTTTTGTTTACGTTTATTATTGTGAAGTGCACTATACTATGCACAGGGCGCAGGCCAGGACTGAGAACCAGGATGGCATCAGGGATTCCCCTAGATGTGAATTCTTCTTTCCACAGTTGGCTTGGCTCACATGAGGTGGTAAATAGGAGGGGGGGGCTTAGTTCAACTTATGTAGGGGTGCTTTTTACCAAAAGTTTGTGTTGTGTTTCTCCAGTGATTACAGAAATGCATTATAGTTAAAAAGTTAAAATCATCATTTATGAGCCCTGCAGCTTAAGAAAGGTAACTAAACAAGCAGCTGCTCTTTTCACTGTACGGCTGACTAGAGAAGATTACAGACAAAGCAAAGTTTACACAGGCCTGGACTGGTGACTTCTTACAATGTACGGGGATTTCTGAGGTAAAGCTGGCCATACGTTGCTTGAACTGGGCCAGAAATTGTCGGCCGAATGGCTGAAGTCACTAATCGGCTGCAATCACTGTTTTATGTAACCTGACGGTGGTGGGTGGTGGCTGTCAGAATACAACAGCTGGCTGGGGAGAATTCCATCTACACTGTTTAGCCGGTTTTCTCGTTTAACCCCAAGTAAAGTGTATGGCCAGTTTTACTGGTAGCACGAGGGCTGAACGAGAAATAAACGCATAGTGCATGGGCAGCTTTAGATATCATGCTTGTGCCCATGAATATATTAATGAATGTTTTACCACATAAGGTTATGCATGTAATTGTTTTATTTATGTAACCTTCCTATTACATATGTATTTGTCATACTGTACAGCATACATTATTGCCTTTTCTCTTCAGCATATGCAGAGTCACAGTGACCCAGGCAATATTGACCTGACTGTCAACATACTGACTATGGGATACTGGCCAACCTATACACCCATGGATGTGCACTTAACAGCAGAGGTAGGCGAGGCTGTGCAATACTTTTGACCTTTTTTTACTGTGTACAGTTCAGCATGTATAAGGAACAGTTAAATGCCTCTACGATTTTGCTTTTTAAATTGGTACATCCTCAAATATTACAGAAGTAGGTAAGGAGGACCAGCAAAACATTAAGGCTGATTACCTAAGGGAGTCGAGACTCGTCCCTCAAAAAAGTGTGTGAATGTTAATTTCGGTTATCCAATCATGTGAAAAGCAAATTCCTGTTGACTTTGAATACTCGATCATGTGCAGAAGTTTTTTACATGATTGGATAATTGAGGGAATATCGACTTCACTCTTCTGAGCTGAAGATTCTCACCTCCCTTTTGTAAACCAGACCATCCATCTACTTCACAATACTACTACATATACTGCATAGTATTCTGATGTACTCGGAGGCATAAATAATTAATTTGAAATGCATAAGACTAAATTACGTTTAAAGAGAGGTGGATGTAATGATCTATGATGTTAATATCTCCTACCGCATCTCAAAATATCACACTAACCACCCCCCTCCGCTCCTCCAAAAACCTCCTGTTCTCTAGCTTCCTCGTTAAATCCTCCCATGCTCTTCTTCAGGACTTCTCCAAAGTCTTTCCCATCCTTTGAAACTCCTTACCCCAACCTGTCTGTGTATCTCCTACTCTGTCTGCCTTTAGGCAATCCCTGAATGCTCATCTCTTCAGGGAAGCTTCTTATTCTGCCTCAAACTAACCACTTAACTGCCTCTTAAACAATTCATCCTCACACAGCTACCTCCTCGTGTATCATTTGCCCCTCCCTCTTAGATTGTAAGCTCTCACGGGCAGGGCCCTCCTTACCATCTTGTCTTGATTTGTATTGTAACTTCAATATCTTCCTTATATTGTAACCCGCTGCCGTTACAATATAAGGAAGGAATCTGTCCGTGTGAGTAATAGAATACAGTAATAAATACCTGCGCTCCACTTATTTATTACTTAGCCTATAAGAATATAACCTATATATTCACATTAT